TCATGTCAAATAGGTAAGGTACATAGGAAAATTTTTTTCTAAAAGTGCTAACTAGAGGGTAATGGAAAAACTTGAACTAGTTCACACTGATGTGTGTGGACCTATGAATACATCATCTTTGGGCCAAAATAAATATGTGTGCTCTTTATTGATGAATTAACAAGGATGACATGGGTGTATTTTCTGAGTAACAAGTCTCAAGTATTTTCAGTTTTCAAGAAATTTGAATTGTTTTCCTAAAGACAGTAGTCCTATGCTAAAGGCTTTGAGGTCGGACAATGGTGGTGTATACACTTTAAATGAGTTCTATAATATTGTGAAAATATGTGGATTGATCACAAACTGACAATAAGTTATTTAGAATAAAATGGAGTCTGAGAGAGGAAGAACGGGACTGTAGTTGAAATGGCTAGATGTTTTTGCATGAAAAGAAACTCCCACAAAGCTTTTGGGCAGAAGATGTTTATACTTTAGTATATTTGTTAAATAGGCTGTCAACTAAAGCTATGGATGGAAGAACTCATATTGAGACATGGAGTGGAATTAGACCATCAGCTGAGCACTTCATTTTTTTTGGTTTGATATGTTATTCTCATGTTTCTTCAGTCAAAAGAAGTAAACTTGAACCGAAAGATGAATTGGGTATCTTTGTTGCTTATTCATCGCAAGTCAAAGAGTTATAGAGTTTCCAACTTGCAAACAAAAACCATTTCCATCAAAAGAGATGTAGTAGTTACTTATTGGAACTGGGATTAAGAGAAAATTAAGAAAGAAAAAGCAGATTTTCAGAACATGAATCCCCTGCCTGCAACACAATCATTTGGATCTCAAAATCTGGAAGAAGATGAAGAATCAGAGGGGGAATCCTCACTTGATTCGATAATTTTGAAGACAAAGTCCCATTCTGGGATATATGAAAGATGCAATGTTGCAATCTCGGAATCAAATAGTTATTAAGAAGCATTAAGACATAAGTTTGGATTAAAGCTGTGAAGGAGGAGATTGGTAGGATAAATAAGAATGATACTTGGAAGCTGGTTGATAAGCCCAAAGACAAAAATGTAATAGGGGTGAATGGGTTTATAGAAAGATATCTCAGTTTATAAATACAAAGCAGGGCTTATTGTGAAAGGTTAAGCGCAAGTTGTTGGTTTGGATTATAGAGGCACATTTGCACCTGTTGCATGACATGATACAGTAAGATTTCTATTTGCTTTGACAACTCAATTAAGTTGGAAGTTGTATCATTTGGATGTGAAATCAACATTCTTAAATGGAATGTTGCATGAGGATATTTATGTTGATGAACCAGAAGGCTTTCAAGTTGTAGGAATGGAGGATAAAGTCTCCAAACTACATAATGTTGGATATTGTTTTTTGGAGACGACGGGCACAATCGATTTCTCACAACTTGAATTTTATTATATCAAAGTAAGGACCCGCTTCGGTCTTACAATCTCGATCACTAACTTGTTGTTTGCTTCAGCAACACTCTTTACTTAGCACTCACTCTTGTTTTCTTGCTTACTTTCTTGGTTTATTACTTACTTGATTTCTTTCTTGGTTTGTTGCTTAGTTTGTTGCTTAGTTTGTTGCTTACAACTCAAATGGACCACCTCTATTTATAGGAGGTGATGGAACAATCTAGCTAAACATATTTTTCTACTCTATTCTAGAATATTCCTCCAACTACTTAATTCTAGAACTACCCTATCTAGAACATTTCTAGACTATTCTCTCTAGAATACTCATTCTAGAGATCTTCCTTCAATTCTCTATAACTCCGAAATATTCTAGATTTTTCTTGACTTATCTTAAGTAAATAATTAAGTTGGTGATGAATTCTTAACACTCCCTCTCAACACCAACTTAATTTTTCCTTTGCGTCCGTTGTGAGCAATTCTTGCTCTGCAAGCATCATGACGTCCATGCCCTTTGAGAATCTCCTCCTTCATCGGATTATTTTGATCCCTACTCGTTGAAGCTTCTTCAAAGGTAGTAGCATCTTTATTGTTAACCATCTCTGCTAATGTTGCATCTATATACTTGGCATTTGAGCATTTCAATCGTGTCTTCCTTCTTAGTTGAGGTTGCAGATCTTTTTGGACTTTTTCTTGCAACAGTTTTGGAGTTTCATGTACTCTTGTTTTCCATGAATTCTTATTTTCTCCTTTTGAAAATATCTCCTCTGTATGTGAGTTATATTTTTCACATACCTCTTGTTCCTGTTCAGCCTCCCTTTTTTGTCTCTTCTAATATTGCATCTATATACTTGGCATTTGAGCATTTCAATCGTGTCTTCCTTCTTAGTTGAGGTTGCAGCTCTTTTTGGACTTTTTCTTGCAACAGTTCTGGAGTTTCATGTACTCTTGTTTTCCATGAATTCTTATTTTCTCCTTTTGAAAATATCTCCTCTGTATGTGAGTTATATTTTTCACATACCTCTTGTTCCTGTTCAGCCTCCATTCTTTGTCCTTCTTCTTCAAGTTTATATTGTAGCTCTTGCTCCAATTTCCTTGAATCTGGAAATGAGACTTCATTGTACCACCATGTTGGTGCTTCATCAAGTACCACATAAGTTGTCTCGGTTAACATGACATATATTGATTCCAACCTTTTCCCTTCCATTATTGGTGTGCTTGTAACTTTTAAGTTTCGATATACTTTTACGTCATTTGGCCCAAACAAGACATAGTTACCAGAATCTAGTAGTTGTGATACAAATAATAATTTTTTCTTCATACCTGGAACATGGTAGACATTTTGAAGTTCCACTTGTCTTGAGCTGTGATGAGGCACAAACAACATCTTGCCAATATGAGTTATTAGCATTTTTGAATTATTTGCAATCACCACTACTCGACCACCTTTATATTCACTCATGTTAATGAGCTTTTTCTCATCACCAGTCATGTGATTGGAACATTCTGAATCAATGATCCAATCATGTTCATAATCGACCAATTTCTCACTTAAAGTTGCAAGTGCAATCTCATCTTCTTTGTTAGAGTGACAGGTGACAGGATCCTCTTGTTGATTAGTTTTTTCAACTGCATAAGAGGTCTCGAAATCCCAAACTTCTTCTTCATCTTTTTGGTTTTTAGAAAAAGTAGCTATATTATAACCTTCAACTTTCTTGTACTAGCAATCTAGTCTCTGGCGTAGTGTCCTTTCTTTCCACAATTGTAGCACTTCTCCATTTGTCGGTTGTAAAAGTCTTTCGCCTGCTTGTTTTGTCGTTGACTTCTTTGATGTTGATTCTTTTGGTCTCCCCTGACCGTGATCCTTTCTCCGCTTCTCTTTTTTGATAGTCTTGTCTTTTGATGAAAAACGTCTTATCTTCATCTTTTATAGCGAGACTTGATAATGGCTTCTCCAAATCTTCTTCATTTGCCAATAAATTTTCTAACTCAGATAAAGTTGGTTCTGTGGCCCACCCCCGTGTGGCTATAATTATGCCTTTGTACTCCAGCCTTAGACCATGAACAATGATTCTTCTCATTCTTGTCTTCGTGATAGCATTTTCAGGATCTAATTTTGATATTTCATCATATATAGATTTTACCTTTGAGAAGTATTGGTTGATTGTCATATTTCGTTGAGAGATCAACAAAAGCTCATTTTCAAGCCTTTGTAATCTTGCATCATTCTTATTTGTAAAAATCGTTGCCAAGGTGTCCCAAAATTCTTTGGGTGTCTTGGCATTCTTAATTCGTTGCAAGAACTCATCCTCAATTGTTACAGAGAGAACAAAAATGGCCTTTCCAGCTTTGACCTTTCACATTTTTGCTGCTTCAGCATCTGTTGGTGGTGTAGTGTCTGATCCACCGATGATATCCCATAATTCTTGGCCAAGAAAGTAATATTGCAATTTTTTGCTCCATGATCCATAGTTGCTTGCGTTGAACTTCTCAACGCTATTGAGAGTGCTTGCGAAATCTGCCATTGATAAGTGTCTCACGACTTGTAGCCTCCAACAATAGCTTGTAAGATCTTCTTTGAGTTACTATCTCGCTCTTATCCACCAAGCTCTGATACCACTTGTTGGATAATGTTTTTTGGAGATGACAGGCACAATCGATTTCTCACAACTTGAATTTTATTATATCAAACGAAGGACCCGCTTCGGTCTTACAATCTTGATCACTAACTTATTGCTTGCTTCACATAAGGCATTGTATGTATTAAAGCAGGATCCTCGAGCATGGTACAATGATCATCTTATTCATTGTGGCTTTAAGAGTAGTGAAAATGAAGCTACTTTGTATGTGAAGTAGGCTAAAAGTGAAAACGAAGAAATGAAGTTATGGTAAATCAATTCAAGCAAAAAATAGAGACCAAGTTTGACATGTTAGATTTTGGTGAAATGAATTACTTTCTGGGAATGGAGATTCATCCAGATACTGATGCAATCTTCATTTCTCAGAGAAAATATGCATGGGATATTCTTGAAAGATTCAAGATGGAGAGGTTCAAGCTTATATCAACCCCACTGGCAGTTTATAGGAGTCTAATTGGTAGTTTGTTGTATTTCACAGCAACAAGACCTAATCTCATGTTTGCGGCAAGTCTTCTGTCGAGATTTATGCAAGATCCAAGTCAAGTTCATCTTGGTGTTACTAAACAAAATTGTTGATTATTGTATTTGGTTTAAAAAGGAAGAGCAAGAGCAATTGATGGGTTATTGAGATAGTGATTGGGCATGAAGCATTAGTGATATGAAAAGTAAATCTGGATATATGCTTTTACACTTGATTCATGCATGTTCTCATAGAATTCAAAGAAGCAAGACACAGAATACATCTTCTGCAGAAGTAGAATACATCATCGTTGTTGGTGCAACTAATTATTAGGATTTTGGTTAAGAAAGATTCTAAGTGATTTGGAGCAAAATCACAATCACATTTAAGTTTTTTTTTTCACCCTCATTCACATTTAAGCTACTGTCAATATATATGACCAATGTTCCAATGAAACATGGTTGTAGCAAGCATATAAAAATGAAGTTCCATGCTATCAGACAAGCAAAAAAGGATGGTGAAGTTAAATTTGTTCATTGCAGCTTAGATCAGCACATTGCGGACATTATGACCAAAGCTCTTCCTAATGTGAAGTTTGAAGTTATAAGGGCTAAGCTAGGAGTATCCAAGAAAAATCTCAAGGAGGAGTGTTAGAAAATGAGATTTTCCTAGATAGTCTTTAGTTTAATAGTTCTCTTTTGAATATTTTGTCTAGTTTGTAAAGAAATAGTAGTCTTGTTTTATGGTATATGTCTTGGTAGAAAGTTCAATAGGGGTTGGATAGGTATCGTCCTCTACTAACTTTTGAAAAGCTTATGTAGATATATGTGTGTGCATTTTAATTTGTAGTATGTTATGAATGAAGAAAAAACTTTTCTTTGAACCTTACTTTTTGCTCTGACGTTCCAAATTCTAACAATAGTGAGAAGTGTAATCTCACTGGATGCAACCAAGGGTTGGTCCATAAAATAATGCATTTTTACAAGGGCATCTATATGAGGAGGTTTATATGTAATTGGCACAAGGTTTCAAACACAATTCAAGGGAACTAACCAGGTCTGTAGGTTGTTGAAGTCCCTCTATAGGCTCAAACAAGCCTCAATAAAAACGGAATAGAAAACTGATCACTACTTGTCAAACACCTCGCTACTTGTCACGTGTTATGTTTAAGAGAAGATCCTTGATATTCTTCTTTCATTTGTAAAACATCTCCTTCATGTATTCTCTATGAATGAGTTAGATTGATCAATTTGACCCAATACAATGTGTAAACAATGACCAACCTCACCACAAGAGGTGATATTTATGTTTATCATAGAGGTAGATAATTATTTCTTGAACTTAACTTGCATATATACGCAATGTCAAATTTTTTAGGGATAATTACCTTTTTGAGTTGTCCTAAGAAAAATAATAGCCAAAAATTGAATGAGGTAGTCCTGATTGATGAGACGCGCAATGGAGTGAATGCTAAGTTAGAGATGTGGAGACAGACTTTGGAGACTAAAGGTTTTAGTTTGAGCAGGATTAAGACAGAATATGTGGAGTGCAAATTCAATGATGTGATGCATGAGGTAGGCATGAAAGTGAGGCTTGACACCCAAAATATACCCATGAGAGCTAGATTCAAGTATTTTGGGTCTACAATCCAAAAGAGTGGAGACTTCGACGATGATATCACACGCCGTATTGGTGCAGCGTGGATGAAGTGGAAGCTGGCCTCTGGAGTCTACCACAAAACATCAAAAGTAAGTTCTATAGAGTGGTGGTTAGACCAACTTTGTTTTATGGGACTGAGTGTTGGTCAGTCGAGAAATTCTATAATCCCATGTCTAGAAGATGCTTGTTACAGAGATGAGGATGTTAAGGTGGATGTATAGCCATACTAGGAGTGATAGTATTAGAAATGAGGATATCTGAAATAAGCTGAGTGTGGCCTCCATGGTTGATAAGATAAGGGAAGCAATACTGGGATGGTTTGGACATATATATGAAGAGGAGATAGATAGATGCACCTGTGAGAAGGTAGGAGAGGTTGATTATAGAAGGTACAGGGAAAGACCGAGGTAGGCCGAACAAGTATTGAGGAGGGGTGATAAGACATGATATGTCTCAGCTTCAAGTTACCGAGGACATGATCTTAGATAGGAGGGTGTGGAGGACTTGTATTAGGGTAGAAGGGTGGTAGGTAGTGTAGTGTTGTCTTGCTCAGAGAGGCTGGTGCTTGCAATGGTACTAATTGTAATATTTTAGTTGTTGCTTTTTATTTTATCATGGTTTATTATTGTTTGTTAAAAATAATCTACCCTACCTATGTTCTTTATGGCATTTCGATTATCACATGATTTTATTGTTGTTTTTGGTTTTTTTGCACTGTTTCTTATTTTGATTTCTCTTCATTTGTCTTCTTCTTCATACTTGTTGCACTTGAGTCAAGGGCCTTTCGAAAACAACTTCTCTACCTCGGTGAGGTAGTGATAAGATTTGCATACATTCTATTCTCTCCACACCTCACTTGTGGGATTTCACTAGGTATGTTATTGTTGTTCTCTATATTAGTAAGTATAAATTCACATTCCACCAGTTTCATTTTTTTGTCTTATTTTCCCTTTCTTATGACAGTTTTTTTTATAAATTATACCTAGAAATATGACATGTATAAGAGCATAAAACCAAGGAAAACTTATCGAAATCTCACTAGTTTAGGAGCTAATTACTTAGATACACTCTAGTTTGCAATATTATGAATTTTACCAGATTTTGGTGCACCCAAATACATCCAGATACATGTATTTCGGGATACATGGGTCAAAATTAGGTGTAATTTGTTCTAGATACATTGTATATGGCATACATGTATATCAAATATATGTATATAAGATACATGTATCTCAGGACACATGGGTCAAAATTCGGTGTTATTTATTTTAGATACATTGTATCCAAGTGGATATGTATGTATATAGGATACATAAGTACATAACAAATCTTGTTTGCCTCCCTCGCCTCCCTCCCATCTCGCTCGTCACTCTCCTATGATCTGGTATCTCATATACATGTGAATCACACCAGATACATACACATGTATCTAGTGTGTATCTAGTGTGGTTCACATATATCTGATATACTTGACTATCTCGCTCGCCTCCCTTCCCTTCTCGCTCGACTCTCTCTCTCTATTTTAGTGTATATGGTAGCAAAAATACATGTATTTAGGTGTATCTTCCTCAATATATGATAAGAAATTTTTAATTAGTGGTAAGATACGAAAACTATTTGAAAGTATGGGTAGAATTAGTATATATGGTATGAATATACGTCTAATAAGGTAGTTTCCCCTAAAATTAAAGGACATGATGTCACATTCTACATATTTTTAGTTTAAAACCATGAGATTTAGTAGTCCTCTTTACTTTCTTAATTCTTAATACAGTGTCAAGTCAAAATCATACAAACACATTATACGAGTTAGGAATAGGGGAACTTACATATACACTTCCTATATATAAGTCTGAATTGTTGATTAGAAGAGTAAGTTTTTTTCACCCTGCATAATCAGGTAATGCCCTATTAATAATATGAAATAGTTGAAAAAATGTTGACAAAAGTAGTGGGAAAATTGAATTATTACCTGTGAAAGCAGAATATGATCGATGTAAACCATCAATTTTTGGTATACAAGATGGAGAAATGTATGGCATTTTATAGTGTAAAAATGTAAATGGCCATAGTGATGAGGAATCTTCTACGAAAATGGACATGAAATGACTGAAGTAAGTGGAAAATTCACTCATCAAAGCACTCTATCAAAGACTTTCGCCGCCACATTTAAGTCTAATCCGTGGCTAAGTTAATTACTTATTTATTCTGGTCTCGGATTTAAGTTTTTTTGAATACGGAGTCATTTTTATTAGAGAACACTTTAGTCCCAATGTGAAATTTTCAAGCGAGAATCTTTGAATTTAAATTCTTGTCACGGAGGAAAATATTAAAGATAAGGTATAATTTAATTAAGTTATTCATAAACTTAATTGAGTAATATTTTTTTAAAAAATTGTTAGTCGTCAACTTTAATCTTAAATTATGATACTTATTTTAGATTTTTTATTTTTTATTTTTTATTTTTGGAAAAAACGACCGTTAAAATGATTGAATGGAAGGAATATCTATAGTATTAATCAAGTCACGTCACTTTTTATTTTCTAATCTTCCTTTACTTGCACTATCCTTCCTCCAATTCGCCACTAACGGCCCAACCTTGCAATTATTGTTAATTTTTTTTTAATATAAACTAACCAACTTCTTAATAAATTATTTTTCTAATTGATCAAACTAAGCGATTTGATAAGATTTCGGGATGACTCAGTTGGTTTGGAGGGTGGTCATTCACACGGATGATCCGGGATTGATTCTCCCTCAATACCTGTTGAGTCGAGCTTGTCGCATTGGACTTGTCTATGTGGTTTACATACCCTGTGTGGTTTCCAAACTATTACACAGTGAAGGTTTATCCAGTGCTCACCCAAAGGACAGGTTGTAGCAAAAGTTACAACGACCGAGGTTTATTCCAGATTTCAAAAAAAAAATTATAACTTATAAAGTTAAATCGCCTAATTAACACAAAAATATTACACGTTTCATTGCTAATTACAACATCAAATTCAAACATTGAATTGAACAATTAGTTTAAGTAATTTTTCACATTTTAGAAAATGAATTAAAAATGTAATAAAATTTCCAGACGAAACTGATATGTGATGATAGAAGATGAAAAGGAAAAAAAAAATGTGATTGCTTTAATTTGTGTCTTGCGTACATCAAACGAGCCCGTTTGGATTGACTTAAAAAAAATAACTTTTGAAAAGTAATTTTTTTGAAGTGCTGAAAGTTATTTTAAAAATAAGTAGTTATATGTTTGGATAACAGTGTTGCACTTAAAAAAAATTGTTGATGTGATTGACAAATATGTGTTGTTAAACACTTTTTTTTATCAAAATGTTTGAAATATCCTTAAAACTGTTAACATAATAAAGAGTTGATTAATTTAAGGTTTTTATTTCTAAGAAAAATTAAAATAAAATTAATTTATAATTTAATTCAATTTCAATAACTTAATATTTAAGTTAATTTTAAATGTGCAACTTATTTTAAATTTCAAAAATATATAATTTGAATAGATCATATGAAAGAATTTGGGAATTGTTTAAAAGAATTAAGGGTAAAAAAGTAATATATTTGGTCAAAATAGAATGACTTTAAGTTTTAAAAAAAAGTAAGGGCCACCCTACTTTTATTTGACTTATTTTAAGTTGTTCTTATAATTGTCAAACTCTCTCACAAGTCAAAAACTGACTTTTAAGTCAGTTTGACCAACTTAAAAGTCCATCCAAACGGGTTTTAAACTAAGGATACGTATCAAAACAAAAAAAAGGAAAATTTCATTATTTTAATTGTGTCTTGTGGTTTAAACTAAGGATACGTAAAATATATAAAATGTTCTTTAATTTTGTGATCTTAAACATTTTATGTGAAAAATTAGAATTAACGAGTTGTCGGTAAAAGGAAATACACATTCTCTTTTAAATTAACTAAAAAAAAAAGTAAGACAAACCAATAGAAACACAAAAAATATATATTATATGTTGCTTTTCATTATAGTGTTTAATTTTTTTTTATTGATGGTTGGATATTTATTATGAAAAATGATATATATATATTGTGCTTGTGCTTGTGGATGGTATGCCAAATAGATACGTTCCAACTTCTCGAGGGTTGCGACAAGGGCTCTAGGTCGAGCATCCAATCTTATTAAGAGTTGTCTTTTCAACCCTCATTTGAATTGATCAGATGTTTGAGCATTAACAAAACTTAATTATTAAATTACCTTTAGATAGATGAACATTTCAATTTTAAAGAGCGTGAAGAGAATAAAAACATTTTAAATATTAACAATTTATTTATTTACCATAGTTTTGTATAATAATCAAATATGCAAATAAAACTCAAGTATAAAATAAAGTAAAATGTTTACCTTATTATGTATGGTGTTATATGCTTGATTAACAAAATGGAACAAAAATTGATAGCACAATGTAAAAAGGGAAAATGATCTGAATTTTATCATTTAAGATTGATATATACCTTATTATAAAAGTGGTTTATATATACTTCTGTTACACAAACAACTCATATGTACCATTTTTACCTCTAATGGAAGAGAAATTTTAAATTTTAAATTTAGTTTTTAAAAAAATTATTAAAAAAAAAAATTCATGTACATATTTGATCTTTCACACACGTATTTTTATTTTTTTTTGCCTTTTTGATTCAACAAGTAATTTGAACTTATTATTTTGATGGTCAAATTAATTTTTTTATTAACTTTCTAGTAAAATTTCTCATACATGTCCTTTTTTTTACGGGAAAAGGATAAAAAATGCCCTTAACCTATTAGAAAAGGTTCAAAAATGTCCTTCATCCAACTATTGGGTTAAAAATGTCATTTCATCCACCTATTTAGATCAAAAATACCCTCAAGGTTAAACTTAAGTATAAACTTACCCTTCCTTTTAACATATGATGTGACATAAATAATTTCTTAAAATTAAATATATAATATTATTTTTATTGGTCCACATCTAACTACATCTAAATTCATTTACAATTATACCCATTAACTCAAAACTTCTTTTTAATGACCCAACAAATTAAACAGATTTATTTTCTTGGAGTTTCACCAATATCTATCTTGAATATAACAATGTCACTCACTTCTGCTGCATTGCACACTGATTTAGTTAACGTTTTGATTAGTATGTTGGAATCCTCTTTTCTCTTTTCATTTTAAATTAGATAAACAAAGTTTACACCTTTGGCCAAAACTAAAAACTATATCTAATGGGGGTTTGATTTTTGATTTGCAAATGCAATAAAATGTGTTAAGTCATCATTCGCTTGTATTATCAAAAGTTTCTCAGAAAATGATGTTAGCCGTGAAAGCACAAAACTGATCGGAATCTGCTCAAACCTTTCTGAAACAATGCGTCGACTCCGAAAATGTTGAAGCTTGTTACACCCTCTTGGCATGGTGAGTATTCTACTGTTAACAAGGTCGAGGAACCGTTTGCGTCCTTGATGGCGAAGGCGGCAATTAGCTCTCACGCGCCGTCGCTCTATTCTCTCACTGTTATCCAGCTCAACCGCGGCTGAAACTGCTGCCAGCGAGCGAGAGAAAAGCGGCGAGTGCCGCCACGAAACTATCGCTGATATGTCTCCTGTCGGTGGCGGTGAGAGCAGCGGAATGGAGCAGATGGAGAAGCTCCAGAGGTTGTTTGGCTTTGTGGATTTAGAAATGGGTTTTGAGTTCATGGGTATAATTGTAAATTAATTTGAATATAGTTAGATGTGGACCACAAAAATAATACGTATTATATATTTAATTTTAAGAAATTATTTATGCCACGTCATCTTCTGTTAAAAGGAAGGGTAAGTTTACACTTAAGTTTAACCTTGAGGGTATTTTTGATCCAAATAGGTGGATGAAGGGCATTTTTAACCCAATAGTTGGATGAAGGGCATTTTTTAACCTTTTCCAATAAGTTAAGGGTATTTTTGACCCTTTTCCTTTTTTAACAAACACAAAATAAATTACAACAATTATGAAAAAAATTGTTTTAAAATTTTTTGGTATTTTCTTCTCTTTTATCGTTCACACTTCTTTTTTTATTTCTCATATTTTTACAGTAAAGAATGAAAGAAAAAAAAAGTAAAATAAGAATAAAAAAACTCAAATATTGATAATCAAAGAAATTAAAAAGGATCACATATACCTCTACATGATTTCTTAAAAATTAAAAATCAAGAAAATAAATTTAAAGTTAATTTTTTTTTTCACTTTCTTTAGATAAAAAGGAATATGTAAGCTCTTTGTAACATTTAAGGGGTCGTTTGGTTGGGAACTAGTTATCTCAGGATTAATTATCTTGATATTAGTTATCCTGAAATAACTTATCCCACCATGTATATGGGATAACTTATCTCATCACTATGCTATAAATGGTGGGATAAGTTATCCAAACATGTCAACCAAACAAGACATTTAAATTTTATCCCAGGACTATTTATGTCTATCCCTCACACCAAACGATGCATTTTATAACAAGGACATATGTAAGGAATTATCAGAACATTAGGCTCAAGTGTCAGAGGGTGTCTAAAAGTCGCGTTAAGTCAAGTCTTGTTCATGGGTGTGAAGCACACCACATCTATGAATAAGAGGCTATGAAATGTTTTACAAAAATAATTCACTTCTTTCTTACTCTCAATCGTACGATAGAGTTCAACTCTATATGGTCCCCTTCTAATTCGTGTTTTACGCGTTTTCAGAGATCATGCCTCTCAGAAGAGCCTACATCAGAAGGAACAGAAATGAGCAACAACCACCTCCAGCTTCAGCAGACCCTTTGGTTGAACAAGTCTCTCATGCCGAATTCAGGGTTGCTTTCTAGGCGCTAGCTCAAGTCAATCAGCAAGATGAGGCCCCAACCAACCCGAATGGGAATACAGCTGTGGCTAGGGTTTGGGATTTCACTCAGATAAACCCTCCAAAGTTTCATAGTTCGAAGGTGGATGAGGATCCACAAGAGTTCATTGAGGACGTCCAACAGATATATATAAGCTCAAGAGTTCCAAGTTCAGTAGCATTCAAAACCTATAAAACTTAAATCCTACATTCAATCTCTAATTTTGAATTCATGTTGAATAACCCCATTTAGGTGTCAAGTAGTTCCTAAAAAAATTTGCATTCTCAATAAACTTGAAACCTCTAATTAAAGTTGGAGAGATATTCCAAACAACATTTACATCATTAAAGCACCATTAGAAATATGTGGGACTCAACCGTTATGCAGAGTAATTTATGTGGCTATTGTGAGTGTGTTTGGTTGTTTGAGGGAGATGAAGAAAAAAAGTTCAACTACAATTATGCACTGCACATGTACAATGTAGAGTGCTATAGCACCGCTATTGTATATGATTAGAGAATAGAAACTCAAAGTAGCTCATTATATTTTGAAATGGAGTACCAGTAACCCTCATGTTTTTCTTGAATATAACTTAAAAACTCATTTCCAAACTAAAATAAATTCGAGTTTAAGTTATAGACACGGTTAATCGGTTATGTACCTTCTACACTATCAGGTAACCTCACCTATTGTTGCAGGTTAACCTGGCTTACCAATAAATATACTTATGGTGACTTAGAAGCATAAAAAAGTCCATACATTGAAAGTGTCATTCCAGATATGCAGATCAAAGCAAAAAAAAGAACATTTACCTGCAGGAAAACCACAGATGTAGATCCTCAACTGCTTCTTTGGTCTGAAAAAAAACAAAAACAAACCAAAATTGATAGACTCGGTAAATTCAAGGGTTACTTGTCAAAAGTAGAAGTGCAATAACAAATTTTAACACTTCCGAGATTCTTAGTTTAAATCACGTCTCATCTTGTGCCGTACAGTGAATTATACTAACTTGAACAACAGGATTACAATGAAAACTACACCATACAAATGGGAGACGCCTTAAGTCCCTATTACTGCTAGATCCAAACGCAAAATACAGCATACAATTGGGAGATGGACCAATTAGACGAAAGCTAAAGAAGCCAGATTACGAGGCATGTAATTTGAATTTCTGACCCTCGAGAAGATTGAGAATCAGAATTAGTCCTCTTCTTTAAAACATTACAACAATCAGTACTCTAGCGATCCTAGAGATGGCATTCCAGAAATAAGATCTTGATCATCAGCACTAGTGCTACTCATCCTTTCAACTGCTCCATGGTTCAGGGATTCAGCCTCTTCCTTTCCCAGCTTCTGCACATCTTCGGGTGAAAGGATTTTTATATACCAGACATTATTGACGAACGCCCTGAAGATATCATCATGCCAGGGAAACAAAGAGAAGATTATAATGTTATAATAGGACAAAAGAAAAGCCACTTCCAAAAAGATTGAACACTACCACCAGGCTGAAAAAAATATAAATCATGTGAAGGTAAGATAACAGACTTGAGAGTTAGCTAAATAAGAAAACGCAACCCTATAAATCAAAAGTTGAGACATAAAAGAAAAAAATTTAAAAGCACATGTTCTCCTTTTGTCTTACTGGAAATTAAAGAAAAAAGTTACATATTAAGTCTTCCAATTGGGTACTTACTCCCATGGGTCGTCTCCAAGGAGAAGGATATCATTCTCCCTGTCAACAAATACAAGCTGCCAGCCTGATCTTTGAGGGTCTTCAAGGAACCCCTCAATACCGAACATCTGCCCCAATTCCCGTCGCAGCTCATGATAGCTGTGGAACTGGGCGATATCCAGTGACCTCCCAACACACCCCGATTTGTAAACCTGCATAGACAAAAAACTATACTCACATAATTGTCGGATGCATTAAAGCCAATGAAAAATTTGACCTTAAACAGCAGAACTGGCACCTTGACAAATGTATGGGTTGCATTTGGTGGATCAATTTGTCCTGCATTGTGCAACAACTCAGAAGAGTCTTGCACATAACCATATAAAGAATTCTGATATCCCGAAGCCCCAAGTGGCATTGTGGACATATCAGCGCATGTAGTAGTAACATTAGACACTCTGGTCGGAAGGAGATGCCCTGAAGAATCAACATTAGCACCAAAAATCGCTAGATTCTGGAAACCCAAGCTACAATTTTCCCTAGGATTAATGAAAGTATCTTTCCCATATGTTGGGAGTGGTGATGAGTTGGAGCATGTAGTTAGTTGTGACTCTGTAAATTTTGACATCCAGGACTGTTGGGGCGGCTTCTCTATGATCACAGACTGACCAGTTCTATTGATATTCAATGAATTACTACTTCCTTCGGAACACAAAGAACCTAGCATATCTTGCACGCCTGGAGGAGCAACAGATGCCGAAAACTTTGAGTTCAAATCTGCAAAATCTGCTTTCAAAAATGGAGAGGAAACATTTGATGGTTGCCTCTGCTGGAGCTGGTCGTGTGGAATTTGGAATGCTTCTTGGTAAGCGTGTTGGTGAGCCTGTTCCTCTGACTGATTATTGGATTGTTGCTCTGATTGCCTTTGAAGGTTCTCTGACAGCATTTGGGTTCGAGCAGGCAGCATATGCTGATGAACTGCTCGCTGCATTATTTGCTGCTGCTGCAGAATGGAATTATCAGTACTTGCATGTTGGAGATAATGGACAGGCTGCTGAAACTGCATTAATTGCTGTTTCATCAAATCTCCACTCCCAAAACTTTGCAAGCCAGTAGCCAGAATAGCTTGATAATGTTGATTAATATCATTTGGGATAATTGTTGAATCGACTCTCTGTTGCATCCATGGATGCATGCCAAAAGATTGAAGATTCATCGAATGAGGTCCTAACTCACCAGTATTCCCTCTTAACCATGCCATTCGATTAATAGCTTCATTGTTACTATCTGCAAAAGCAAAGGAGAAAAATTAGTACTATAGCTTCTGGAATGAGAATTGGTTGCTATCTGAACAATGATACTGCAATAAACTCATAATTGCTCCTTCTATCATGCTTATTTGGGAGGGGAAGACAGGATGTAAAACTCTTGGAGGCTAGAAGAGACATTAAAGGGTTATTTGGTTCAAAAGCAGGTTATCCTGGGATTATAACTACAATCATCTTCCCACCTTTCATCTGGGATAGATAAATAATCCCAAGATTGTGATATAAAATTTATCCTGGTTTTAGGTAGTCCCCTCATCCAACACAAACACAGGTTTAGTCCCAAATTTAATACCAAGATAACCCTTTTAACCCCTCCAAACAAACAGACCCTAAAAGTCTAAAACTACATAGGCCATTCCCTTTTATTTTTCTTTCTTTCTTGATAAGTTACAGTGCAGACTTCACAATTTTACCAAAATAAAGGAAGATAGGATTTACAGCTTCAATTCTCTAACCACATGACCATTCAGTGTGCCATACCTTGATAAGATGAGGTTCCTGGATACAAAGGCCGCTTTAGTCTAAAAGGGAAAAGAGATGGATACATCGGAAAAGTAGTCAAAGGCTCAATCTCCCATAATGAGACCCTTGGTTGCCTCTCTCCTGCAGTTGACTCATCCCAACCAACCTATAATTTCATGAAATTTGTTGTTTAAATATTAAGTGTTAGCAATCGCATTCAACTCAATCACATGAGTGGGATTCAACCCACCCGATGTGTGGGTTCAACTTGAACTGACCCACCCCAGAACCCCAAACGAAGTAAAAGGAAAAAAGAGTAAATCCTTCAAACATTGAGACATGAATGGGAAAACCATGTTATAACTGATATACTTACAAAAGAATAAGAATAGCAAATAGAGAAATGCTAAAGGTAAAATAAAAATAGACCATTTACCTTGACAGACCGCCAGTGAGAGTTTGCCCAGCGAACTGAATCTAAGTCACCAATCCCAGTAATTGTGCCCATGTATCTGAAAAATGACAGAACCACCTATAAGAAAAAAGAATTATCTGTTGTAATGACAGGTCACTTATGTTAGCCGGTGTTTTATGTGTAAGGATTCGGGTGAAGATGTTGACCATCTTTTTTGTCATTGCTGATTTGTTTTGAGGTTATGATGGGATATCCTTACTTGGTTTGGAGAGCAATGGGTGATGCCAAGTACTATGAAAGAGCTGATGTTTAGTTGGAATTGCGGCAGACGGAGAAGAAGACACAAGGCTTGGAATATTACTTCATTAGCACTTATGTGGGTACTATGGAGAGAAAAACATGCGAGCTTTTGAAGGGTGGAGATGAATAATGTACCGTTGAGCTGCGGATTAATGTTGATTGATTCCTAAGTTGGAACCTTAGGCGCCGAGTAGCCTCTAATCCCTTATTTTCCATCTGGTGCACCCATGAGATCCCTGTAGGAATAGAAGATTGGGTGACTATTGTAGAAAACCATTTCTTCTTGTAGGTTTTCTACTTATTGGTATACCTCTTGTATACTGGCTTTTGTTTCTACCCACATATCTATAAAATCTTATTGGTTTATCCAATAGAGAGAGAGAGAGAGAGAGAGAGAGAGTTATCTAACAAACATACAGGCTAAAAATTTCAATGATACCCACAAAGGTAGGGCACTAATTTACTAGCGAATGAAAATTTTAATTTAATTGGTTAAAGAGTTGGTTTATTTACTAGAACCAACAACCAACTTCATTAATTGAAACCCTAATGCAAGAATGCAACTATATTTTTGCCAGTCCTAGACAAGAATGATATGCAACTCTATGGGCCAAAGGAAAGCCATAGGGGTAATAATCCTGCACCGTCATCCCAATTCACCATTCTACATAAGTAAACATAATTCTCCAACTATAATTCATGATGAAACAAAACATAGGAGAAGATGCATATTTGAGAGCCTTTTTCTGCAGTTAAGTATAAAACAGGTGCCCAATACATCATAAGAAACTACAAGCCTACTTAT